CAGCGGGGCAGCGCCGGCGGTGCCTCCCTTCCTCCCCTGCCTCCCTCCCCTCGGCGGACAGCCGGATCCCAGCGCCCTGCCGCCGAAAGTCCTCCCAACACATGACTGCTCAGCAGCTCTCCCCGTGCCTTTCTCTCGGCTGGGGGGTGGATAAAATAATCAATGGAATAGGATCGAGCTCTGCGGCGGCAGCGCCGAGCCTCCGTCCGGAGAGGAGCGCGGCTGGGGCGACAGCAGGAGACTTTGGAAAAGGAGAGTTTCTTACAACCATCTCGGAGTTGCATCATCCGTCAGCCCCTACCAGGGAGCACTGGAAAGTTGTTCGCACCCTTTCCCCTCCTGTCCCGGGGCCACCGGGGCACGCTGGCCCCCGGCCGGCTCCCGGGAGCCAGCGACATTTCTGCCGGAGCTGGGACTCCGACAGCCTCACGGCCCCAGACGGGACCTGGATGGCACCGGGGGTACCCTGAGGGGAAAAGGCCATCCCAGCAGAGTCCCCCCTCAGGGCCCGCCGGGATTTCAGCAGCTGCTCCCGGCCACACTGGGGAGAGCTGCCCACACCCCACTGCCTTTGCACCGAGCCCGGCTTTGGTGCCTGGAGAAAAGCGTCTCCTTTTCCACAGCCAACGATTTACAACACTACACCAGGACAGGGATTTAACTCTGCAATTTCCCCGCATCTGCCATGTTGCTTCAGCGTACGGCTTGATTTCACACCGGCAGTCTCCCTGTGCTGACTCGAGCACAGGTCACCGTCCCCACGGCCGACATCCCTTGCCACCAGTCCCTTCTGCATCCCTGGAGCGCTACAGATGCCTGTCCCGGGCGGGGAGAGACAGAAATGGGGAGCAGAGGCAGGCACAGAGAGCGCCGTATCCCTGCTTTTGGGGTGGGTTTGGTGGAGGAGCTTCCAGGCTTCCGCAGGAGCAGTGAAGGGAAGGAGTGTGGGGCGGTGGGAGGGACCGTGGACTCTACGCCCCAAAGAAAGGGCTCATTGAAGCAGGGACGGGCATTTGCGGTTCCCAGCGTGGCCGGGGGCCGCCGGCACTCACAGCAGCCGGCATTGTGCCACCGGCGCCGGGAAAACAGGGCCGGGCAGTCCTCTCACCCATCTTGGTGGTCTGCTCTGTAGCCCCCCTGGCTGCCCAGCACTTCAGTCGCTCACCTTAGCTGCAGGTGGTGCTGCAAACCCCACCCCAGCCGTGTCCGTGATTTCCAGCGGGTTGCTTTCAAGGCTGAAGGTGTTTTAGCCGGCTCCTAGTCCAGCTCCAGCTCCAGAGGCTGGACCCTGCCTGGCAGACGCACGTGTTTTACCCCCACAGCCAGCACTGATGTCTCTGAGTCCCATCGGGTTCACCAGGGGCAGGAGCAGCAGCTCTCCTCTCTGCTGGGTCAGGAAGAAACACCTCTCTCTGGACAGCACCAAGGTGAGGGAGAGAAAAGACAGGTCTGTCCTGGCCATGCAGCCTGTGCTGGTCCCATCCCAAATATTACTGTGCCCTCCCCAGCCTCTACACCCCTTCTGCACGGTGGTTTTTGGGACACGAGGAACAAGGACAGCTCATGGGGTCATCACAGAGAGCAGGTGGGACAGTAAAGGGGACAGGACAGGAGACAACCTCATGCACCTGGAGAGAGCTTGTGCAGTGAAAACAAAGTTGTTTCAATGATGCCTGTTTGTACCAACACCCGCTGCTGCTCCTGAGTGTAACCTCTGAGTCAGAAGGACTTTCCATTCCCAACTTTCTCCTCCAATGGGCAGTTTCCAGGCTTCAGTTTGATGAGGCTTGTGACTATTCTCAGCAACTTTATAAACATCGTAGGAGGTGACTTTTTTCCTCCTCTTTTTTTTAGCTTGACTAGACATGCTTTTATCCAAAAAATACCTGCCTGGACAGGCTCCTTAGCTGCTCAGCAGGGCAAACGGAAGCAGCACTGTGCTTGTGCCATGCCTTGGAGGACAGCCAGGACCAGGATGAAAATTGCTTGGAGATGAAAGCAAAGTGGGAAGCTCTGGTGGCACGTTTCCCAAGTCCAGACTGGGGAGGAAGTTGGGAGCGGAAATAGTTGAAAGAGTAAATACAGAGGGGTTTTTTTTTTCCCAGGTTGCAGACAAAGAGCAGCACGGAGAGCAGATAAGCCCGTGCTCCTTATCTCTTTGTTGTTCCGCCTCTGTGTTTCGAGCTCAGCTGCAGGTCACTGTGGGCTTCCATGGGGGGATGCATGGGAGTGGACATGGGCTGGATGGACAGGAGGATCTCAGGCAGGGAGGGAACTCTTGCACGTGGGTACTTCATTGCCTTTCTGTGTCCAGAGCTCAGCTATTGCCTGTTGAGTCACCAGAGGAAAATGTGACTTCATCCAGTCTCACCTCCAGCTGGCTGCCCCCGGCATCTCTCTTTCCTGGATCTCACCTGGTGGGGGACTCAGGGCTGCCAGAGGTGGGGAATGAGAGCCCCAAGGCTTTGTGTTAAGACCTTCCCTTTCCCAAAACCGAGCTGAAAACCTCTGCTCTGCTCTTCCAGTCAGCCAATCATGTGGAATGTCCTGCTGAAGGGTGACAGGAGCATCCCTTCCCTCCTTCCTCTCATAGGGCCTCTCCTCACCCCACCTGAACCACCAGTGGGAACATTCATCCCATGAACCAACTTGCTCCAGCAGACTGGAATGATTTGGTGTCTCCATAACCGTCCAAGTCCTTCCTTGTTGCTGTGGCAATATTAAGTTAATTTGTTGGTGGTGATGGATCCCACCTGAGCAGGCTTGCGTGGGAACAAAATCCCCAGCACCACCCAAAAAAAATCTCCTTTTCTGGCTTTAACTCATCTGGGAAATCCATAAGTCCTGTTATCATCTCTGCAAGGGGAATTGCAGCTGCCCCTGCTGAACTGAAAAGCACTTCCAGCCTGAGGGATAGGAAAAACACAGGGAGCAGCACCTGAGCTGTGGGTGCTGCCATCCAGGACATCTCAGTTCAGCATTCTTGGACATTATTCCACTTTGCTTTGGGACGTGGAGAGCAAGAGGACACTGCCTGCTGTCTCCAGGGGTGATGTCCATCCATCTGTCTGCTCACACAGGTGCATTCTCCAGGAGTGGGCACTGGCAGGGCAGCAGCAGCAGCAGCATCCCGATGTCTCTCCTCATCCATCCCATCCCAGCAGAGCCCTGGAGGGGAACGTGCCGGGGACACAGAGCCCCCTCTGTTCCCACTCACAAAGGGGCGCTTGTGGCTCACGCAGTGCCCCATCCGGGCTGCGCCTCACTGGCCCCAGCGAGGAAGAGCTTTAGGATGCCAAGCGGCCCCAGGCAGCCTCACCAGGTCACCCGCGTGTCCCCAGCCCCACGGCTCAGCCCTGACGGGGCCCCCGCGCCTGTCGCTGCCGCCCCGCGGGTCCCAGGCAGGAGTTTTGCAGCCGGCTGTTTATTTAATGAATTATGTCTGCCCCGGGCCTGTGAATGAGGGTTTTGCCAGCGCTGCCGGACATGGTTCTCTGTGTCATCCCTGTGAATAATCCTTAGTCTGTGGCTCATTTGTGGTCAGGCAGCAGAGGGGGGAAAACCCCGGGCTGGCTTTGCCCAGAGATTCGTCTGAGGAAGCGGTCGATGCCATCCCCAGTGCGTGTGCGGGCAGCAAGGGGACTGTCCCCAGCCCCAGGCGAGGGCAGGGATGCAGATCACCGCCCCTTGGGATGCCGTGACTCCGCTGGGCGCTGAGAGACGCGCCCGCACACCGAGAACTTTGTGCATTTGATTTATTTTTTTTTTCCTCTCTCTCCGTTGCTCAAATACTCCGACAAGTCCTGTCATCGAGGGGGCACGACCGAGGAGGGGGGATATGGGGGGTGGCTGGCGAAAGGCACCTGCCCCGGCTGCTGGCCTGTCCCCGAGGAGCGGCGCGATGACAAACTAAACTAACAGGGTTGTTAAAAACACACACACACACTCGCACACGTGTGCCGGGGATCCCGGTGCCGCCTGCCGAAAGGGGGGATCTGGGACACATCTGTGGGAGGGCTCTGGGGCTGCCAGGGATCTCCAGAGTCCTCACATCCCACTAAATCCTGAGTTTCCTGGGTGCGTGGGTGTGGATGTCTCTTTTTAGAAGGTTTTTCTGGAAAGGAGATGGCTGGAAGCCAAGCCTCGGGAGCTGAGCGGTTTGCTCAAGCTGGGAAATTCCTGGTCCTCACGCAGAGAGGACTGGGAACCTGGCAGGCTGGGGTGCTGCCCTGGCCACGGAGCACATCTCACCCCTCCTGCCCATGCTCCCTCCTTCCCAGCCAGGAGGGGCATTCAGCGAGCAGCACTAAAAAAATGCACATTTTGACCGAGCACGACGCGGAAGAGGATGGGACGTGATGCAATGCCTGGCAGGGCTTCCCCACTCCACGCTCTGCCGGGGGCTGCAGAGAGCGAGGCTTAGCCAGGGCATCTCCCCTCCAGCAAACCCAGGGGCCCCCCAAAGGATGGGGCTCTGCCTGGCTCCCCTCCTATGCCCCAAAAGCAGGGCTGGGATGGGCTGCTGGGGTCGCGCTGGTGGAGCCAAGCCAGGCCTAAATAGACTTTCCCTGAGTCACCGAAAGTCTGGCCAAGAAAGCAGGACGAGCGAACGGCATCACCCACACAGCCGGCCAGGCAGGGCACCAGCAAGGCCTAGGAGTGTAAATCTGCACACCGGGGACCTGCCCCAGAGCCTGAAACAGCAGCTGTGGCCCCCAAAATCTCCCCGTGGGCTGTGGGTTTGGTGCAACTCAGAGCGGTTTCCAGCAGCGGCGGACGGGCGGATGTTTTCTGCTGGGCGGGGATGCCAAGTCTCCTGGTTTTGCATCCTACACCAAGCAGCTGCACCATCATTTGTTGGTTTCTTTTTTCTTTTTTGGCAAAAACCTCCCCTGGAGCATTCTAGTCCCTGAGGGGGACTGGCAGCAGCAGCGTTTTCCGGCCTGCCGTTGTTCCTGAAAACTCTCTGGGTTTCATTTTCGAGGCTCAGCAGCTGCTGCTGCCATGCTGGGGGAAGGCGGAAGCTGCTCAGCCCCACACTGGGGCCCTACAGCGGAGCCTCCAACCCTCCCCTTTCCAGAGGTTGGGAGCCACAGCGCACCAAAGACCCGGACGATCCGGGGGCCCCCTCGCTGGCAGCAGCAGGTTTTTGCCAGTGGGAAGCAGGCAGCTGTTGGGTGGCAGGAATTGGGCAGGGGCAGCTGGTGGAAGCGTGGGAAGGGGTCCTGTCAGGCAGATATATTTTGGGAAGGAGGAGGAGCAACCGATGGGGCAGCTGTTCCTCGGGGGTGGGACGGAGCAGGAGGGAGGAGCTGCCCTTCTTTTACTGCTCTTGTCAGCCTCTCACCCTGCCCGCAGAGAACCATCGCCATGCTGATCCTTCTTCTCCCCACAGGCAGGGCTGGCAAGGCCCTAGCCCAAGACACCTTCCCAGCGTGCAGGAGGGACCTGTGTGCGCTGCCCATGGAGATCCGACGCGCTTTACCCCAGGATATCCGGGAGCTGCTGCACTGCTTGAAGATGAGGAGCAAGTACGCCGTCCTGCTGGTCTTCGTCATCAGCCTCGTCATCATCGAGAAGGAGAACAACTTCATCTCCAGGTAGGCGGGGGGTACCTGAGCCACCCCACGGTTTTCAGCCCCTCTCCCCCAGTCCTGAGCTCCTATGCAGCAGGAACCCCCCAAGTCCCCCGGCGGGATGCAGGGCGGTCCCGCTGTCCTCCAGGCTGGGCTGGGTCTCCCCGCAGGGTGTCGGACAAGCTGAAGCAGTCCCCGCAGGCCCTGGCAGAGGCCAACAGCACCGAGGGCAGCCCAGCAGCGGCCAAGAACGGCTCGCTGGCCTCGCTGCAGGAGCTGGACGCCGCCTTCTCCCAGCTGAGGTCGCAGCTGTACAACATCACCCTGCAGCTGGCAGGTGACGGGGACCCCGGGCCACGGCGGCACGTCCTGCTGATGGCCACCACCCGCACTGGCTCCTCCTTCGTCGGGGAGTTCTTCAACCAGCAGGGCAGCATCTTCTACCTCTTTGAGCCCCTCTGGCACGTCGAGAAGACGGTGACCTTCCTGCCGGGAGGAGCCAGCGCGGTGGGCTCAGCCTTGGTTTACCGAGATGTCCTCAAGCAGCTCCTCCTCTGCGACCTCTACATCTTAGAGAACTTCATCTCACCGGTGCCCGAGGACCACCTGACGCCCTTCTTGTTCCGGCGGGGCTCCAGCCACTCGCTGTGCGAGGAGCCCGTCTGCACGCCCAGCACCAAGAAGGTCTTTGAGAAGTACTACTGCAAGAACCGCCGCTGCGGCCCCCTCAACATCACGCTGGCGGCCGAGGCGTGCCGGCGCAAGCAGCACGTGGCCCTGAAGACGGTGCGCATCCGGCAGCTGGAGTTCCTGCAGCCGCTGCTGGAGGACCCTCGGCTGGACCTGCGCATCATCCAGCTGGTGCGGGACCCCCGCGCCGTCCTGGCCTCACGCATGGTGGCCTTCTCCGGCAAGTACGAGACCTGGAAGAAGTGGGCGTCCGAAGGGGAGGCTCCCCTGCGCGAGGAGGAGGTGCAGCGGCTGCGGGGCAACTGCGAGAGCATCCGAGTGTCGGCGGAGCTGGGGCTGCGGCGGCCGGGCTGGCTGCGGGGCCGGTACATGCTGGTGCGCTACGAGGACGTGGCGCGGGCGCCGCTGCAGAAGGCCCGGGAGATGTTCCGCTTCGCCGGGCTGCCCCTCACCCCGCAGGTGGAGGAGTGGATCGGCAAAAACACTCAGGCTCCCCACGACGGCAACGGCGTCTACTCCACGTGCAAGAACTCCTCGGAGCAGTTCGACAAGTGGAGGTTCAGCATGCCCTTCAAGCTGGCGCAGGTGGTGCAGGACGCCTGCGCCCCAGCCATGCAGCTCTTTGGCTACAAGCTGGCCAGCAGCCCCGTGGCGCTGGCAAACCGCTCCTTCAGCCTGCTGGAGGAGGCACAGCCCGCCTGGGTCACGTAGAGGCACACGGAGATGGCGGCGGGGCGGAACGAGGGGCTGTGGCCGTGCTCCCGGCCGGTCCGGAGGCGACCTGAGGGTCCCTGCTCCCGAAAATGCTCCTCGCTGCTGCCAGACGGCAGCTCCAGGAGCCGGAGCGTCCTGGCAGAGCTGGCCCCAGGGTCCTGCAGAGCCTGAATTTCACAATTTCTCCGGGAATGGGGAAATTGGGTAAGGGTGAGGGGCGGTGGGGTCGGCAGCAGGGCCGCCTCCCCAGCTCGGGAGCTGCACTGAGGAAGAGGAGGGTGACGGCAAGCAGAGGGGGACAGGACCAAGCACCTCTGCCTTGCCACCCCCCCCCTGCCAGCTGGGATGGGGCAAGGACAAAATCCCTGTGGTGCCAGCAAGCACCCAGACCGCAGAGACCTTCTTGGTTTAGTGCCTTCATACACCAGCACAGACTGGAAACTGCCCACAGAGCCCTGGATGGCATTTGGGCTACAACAAAATGAGGTGACCATGGTTTGGTGCTCTTCAAACTTGGTTTTGGAGGTTTGGGTTTTTGGGTTTTTTTTCCCCTGCTTATTTGCAAACCAGGTGGATTTATTTATTTATTATGTGAAAAGGGTGGGGAAGCTGGTCAAGGAGCTAAGCCCAAAAATCAGCACAAAGGGAGACACCCAGAACAGAGGTCACATTTCAGCTGGAGACCACCACGTGTCCTCCTGTATGATCTTGGGAGAGCCCCCAGGGACTGATGGGGCTTTAATCCTCCCCAGCAGCGGCTGCGGACTTTGGCAGTGCTGAAAGATTTATCTGATCAAAAACAAAACCACCAGCACAGGGTCCAAAGCATCTCCTGTCCCCTTAGTACTGGTGGGTGTCCCCTGTCCCGGGGGGAGCCCCAGAAATACGTGCTAACAGCACTGGTGGGTGGCCAAACCTGGCAGAGGCCCGGGGAGTTTCGGGGTGTTTGCCATGTGCAGGTGTTGACCCAGTGCTGAGCTGCCCCCTCCAATTCGCATTTCTTTAATTAAAATGCCTATTTTTAGCCCTCTTTGTAGCTCATTCTTTTTTCTGCCCCGGGTATTTTGGGTTATAGCAGCCACCCGAGGGAGAAGTCAAGCGTTTTGGTGCAGGGTGGTTGTCTCCACCTCGGGCTCGCCGAGGAGCCCAGAGAGGGTCCCAGAAGCCGCACGTCCCCTTCTCCCCAGCTAAAAGCAGAAATAAATCAGTGAAGCGAGGCGGCAGCTGGCCACAGCTGGGCTGTGCTTTGCCGGGAGGAACGCGCCGGGGCTCCGGCGAAGGGCTGCGGCTGGGCTGAGCTCACAAAAGCTGCGTTTTTGACCCAAGAGGGAGAACAGAGGCGGCATTGAGGAGCGCGGGGCCGGCCGGCGGGGAGCAGCCGCAGCGGAGCCCCGGGCTGCCATCCTCCCTCCCGCCGAGGCTTTCCGAGCCCGGCATCTGCCTTCAAGGTGCGAGTTCAGGATGCCCGCTGCCAGCTGCATGGGGAAAAGGGCACCAAAGTGGGGGTTTTCTTGGCGTGCCCTCATCGCTCGCAGGCGGTGGAGAGCGTCAGCCTCCTCCCCGCTTCACAAGCAGCTCCCGGCATCACAAGCAGCCCTGGGGCTGCTGAGTGAATCGGGTTTTGTTTGGAGGCTTCCTGCTGGGAAAGCAGCAGGGTCACTGAGGTCGGGTGGATATTCCGCAGCTGCGCGCTGGGAAAAGCCCGCAGAGCTCGGCCGGCATGAGGGGGAACGCAGGCGGGCGCAGGTTCCTGGTAAATGCCTCTGGAAAAGCAGCATTGGGTTGTTTTTTTGCAGAGAAAATAATTTTAGGGTAATTGTTTGTGAAACAGCAGGAGGGGTGAGTAGCTGCTGAGCTGCCACAGCCGAAGAGGGGACATTGGAGAGTGCCCAGCGTCCCCCTCCCATCCCACCGTGGATGGGGGCGCTTCGGGGCTTGGAAAGCCGGGCTCAGGGGGACAAGGACAGGCAAATCCAGGAACACGGGAAACAAGGGCCGAGGGAAGGGGGAGCTGGGCTGAGCCGAGGCCAGAGAGGATGGCCAGGGCTGCCCGTTCTCACCTGTGCTGCCTCCGGCTGGCTCCAGCCCGGCTCCGCTAGCCAAGCACAAGCATTTGTTCCTGGACACCGTCCAGCTTCCCGTCAAAATCGTCACAGGACAGAGAGAAAACATGCCCCCGACCCATGCCGGTTTCCGCGGGGCTAATTGCTCCCATTAAAGCCACGGGCTCCGGGCGCATCGGGAAGCCCCAGGGGACACACGGCTCCTTTGGAGGCTGGAGCAGCCGAATTCCCCCCGAGCTGGCTGGGGGAGGTTTGTCCCCCCACAAGAGGAGCCTCCTGCTCACCCTGCTCTAGCCAGGCATTGCCCGGTTCTTTCCAAAAGGCACGGATTTGGGAGAAAAAACACAGATTGGGGAAGACATAGCAAGAGACAGTGCCTTAGAGCAAGGATATTCCTGCATCCAGACGGAGCAGGCAGGAAGCCCACGACAGGAGCTGCAATGGATGCAGCCTCACCCTTTCTCATAGACACCAAAGCAGAAAAGAAAAAAAAATAATAATAAATATTCAATCCTCTTTTCAAAAGATGGAAGCTTTCTGAAATAAAGCAGTACTAAAGCTTGGTTTAAAATAAGGAAATGAAAGCCCAGCCTGCAGCTGTAGTGCCTCCAGGCTCGCCTCCCAGCCTGCTACAGTCGTACTTTGGGGGGAATTTGGGAACTTTGTGCTGATTGTCACCAGAGAGACCTTTTCCACAAGTAGCCCAGAGCAGTGAGGGGACATGTGTCCTTTGGGACAGGGCCACCAGCCAAAACTGCTTCTCCTTGGGGTCACTGCACTTGACAAGAGATGATGAAAGCTTTAAAAAATAATGGATGTGCTGTTCCCCTCTAAATGGGATCTTTCTGGGAAATTATTCCCTCTCACTGGTCTAATCCGGAGTTGACTTTGGACAGCGGGTACATTCTGCTGTTTCTCTGCCTCCCTCTCGGAGCACTCAGGGCTGCCTGGGGCCGTGCTGGCATGGCTGGGCTTGCTGTGGAGAGGCAGAAGCTGCTGGTGCCAATTTAGAGAGCGGTGAAGATGAGCAAGGCTCTGAAATGCCACCTTAGACAAATGTCACACCCTGCAGTTTAACACCCAGCTGCCCCTGCTGGGCCATGAAGACAAGACACCAGGTTGGTCCATAGAAATCCATAAAAAGGCCTTTTTCCAGCCTGGCATGAGGTTTCTCCCAAAGAGCAGAAACAATGGCTGCTCTGCTGGCTGTCCTGACCCCCCATACCCTTCTCCTGACTTGTTCCAGCTCCATTTAATGGGATCGGACGAGCTAATCCCCCATGTCCCCTCTCAGCCCTATCAGAGGGGATTTCTGCACAGGGGCTGGAGGGAAGGAAATCCATCATGCCAGCAACTGCCTGCTCTCACCAAGCCCCACTGGCTTCTGCTGGAGGCCGGATCAACCCTTTCTCCCTCTCTCCATTGTGGGCCTTGGTGTGGTTCTTGCAGGGAGCTGGTCCATGGCTACAGCTGCATCATCCAAACACCAGGTCAGCGGGGAGACCCATGGGCAGTGAGGGCTGCAGCACATGTGGACATTTCAGCATTAAATGACAACCTTGTTTTCTGTTGTGTTTTTCTAAGAGACTGCATGCCTGACCAGACTGCATTTCTTGGTCTGCATCCCATATTTATCCTGTAATTACACCTTTGGACAAAGGCTGCCTGTCTGTGAGGCCCATTTTTTTCAGGACACAGTTTTATTCTATGCTCTGCTTTCACTGTAATGAAATCTGGGGGGCAAGGGGAAGAAAACTCCCCCCATTGGGAGTGAAAGTTGTTCTTTCTCAAAAGCTGCTCCAAGAGCAAAGGAACTCACTCAAGCCCTCTCCCTTTTCCTAAAGAAACCCCAGCTACTGACATCCTTTATGTTTCTCTACCACCCCACAAGGATTAATGCCACAAACCATGTTATCCCATAAAAGAAAGTTACCACCACACTGTCAATCTCTGGGCTCTGCAGCTGCAGGAGCCAGAGAATTTCCAAGGAGATCACTTCAATCCTTATAGCCAGGCAGCTGACATGAATAAAGTTGATAAAACTCCTTGTTGGCATCTTCCTGGATCACAGCACAGTGAGGGATGAATTCCCACAAAACGGCATTTCTGTAAAATTCCCAATGTCTGCTGTATGTTTGTCTCTGGAGGGGTAGGAAAGATCTGCATGGCACAAAACCCAAAGGCAGTTGCAGGAGCTGTCTGAGCTGGGGTTTCCTCCAAGGGGAAGGACAGCTCTGCTCGGTCCCTGCTCACCCCATGTCAGAAGCTGACATGAGCCTGGCCACCCCCATTTCCCAAAAACTTGCTTTGGGATGAGCTCCAATTTGTAGGTGTCAATGGCAGGTGAGGTGAAGCCTGTCACCACAGCACACTGAGCCTGGCAAAAACTCCTCCTGCTGTACTGTGCAGGAAAAGAGAAGCTGGGGAGCACCTTGGCACAGGCGTGGGAGCACGCTGTGATCCCAGGAAAAAAGGAGAACAGCATTGTGGCACAGTCCTGGGGTGGAGTGGAGGAAGATCCCAGCTCCCCATGGATAAAAAAATCAACATAATTGCAGAGACCATTGCATTTCACCCTTGGGGTTTTCCCCACCCTTTTCTGGCTGGGATCTGTGACCAATTTATGGGCTGGCATGTACAGAGACACTGCCTATAAATAAACATGACTGGTCCAGCCTGACCAAAATAGGGAGATTTTGGTGCTGTCGTCCATGGGAAGCAGCTTGTCTTCTCAAGCCACTGAAAAACCAGAAATGAAAAATGAGGTTTGTCAGGGAGAGAATAAATATAAGTGGGACCTTGTTGATTTCTGCTAAAAGTAGATTTTTATGTATAAGGTATAAAATAGCCAGTGTGGATGTTTAAAAGCAGCCAGGAACTGTCTGAATTGCTTTCTCCAGGTGATTCTTTGCCCTGAACTGACACAATTCTACCTTGGCAGAAGCAGAGCTCCCTGAGGCATGTGGGGGCAACCAGCTCACCCAGGCAAAATGGGGAGCTGTGGGGCAAGGATGTGCCAGGCAGTTTGTCCAGAGCAATCCCTCATCCCTGGGAGACTCAAAATCCTCCTCTCCCCTAAGCAAAGCTTCCAGAGGCACAGCCAGAGAGCTGCAGCCACACTGGTGCCACTGGGGCTGTCACAGGACAATGTGCAGGACATGTCTGTGGGCAGAGGGAATGTGGCGTGTGAGGCTGCTGATACAGGAGAGGATTTGGGGTTTTGCAGAGATGGCTGTGAGCCAGAAACAGTTTCCAGCAGCTCAGGTTTGGCAGGGGAGGAAGGGGCCTGCAGCCTGGCCTAGGTGGGAGAACTGCTCTCTAAAGGTGGGTGAAGGGAGGAAAGTTATCCCTCTTCCAGCCTGTCTGGGCTGTTGCAAAGTTAGGGAGGCCAAACTGCCCTGATGATGAGGGAGGGCAGAACAAAGATGCAGAGGCTTACAGAGATTTGGGCCAGGGCAGAGCAGGGGTACTGGTGGCATCCTAAAGTGTCCCCATGCAGCACTGTTGTACCCATCAATGGCTTAATCATCCTCAGAGGGATGTCTCAGCTCTGGATGATGCTGGATTACACCTCATGAGGAGAGGACTCACAGATTGGTACGTACAGCCATTCTGCCTGTCTCAGAGTGGCAAACTGGGGCAAGACCAACTCACAGAGCCCCTTCCCTGCACCTCCACCTTCCCACTGGACCCCTACCAACCCACAGGGAGCATTTGGTCCGTGGGGCAGCACTGAGGAAAAGTCCAGGGAGCCTGGAACAAGGCAAGGCAGGCCAACCACTACCCCAGGCCTGCCCACCTGCCTCTGCCCCACCGACCACCAGCAGGAGGAAAACCCCTCTCTGAGGCTGATGAGCTTTCACCACCTGCCTGCAGGCTGCTGGAGAAAAATCCCCCCCCAAAAAATATCCCATCTGCCAAACCTGAGCCCTCACCTGCATACAGCTTTGGGCATTCCGAATTTCTTCCTGTTTGCCTGGGGTTGGATGGCAGTTTTTCACAAAGGCTCCTTTTACCCTCCCCTCTTTGCTCTAGGAACTCTTTTTGTCAGTGATGTTTTCTTGCTTGTTGCTGCATCTCCAACTCACTGGCCCAGAAGATTTTTTCCCCTTTTTTTTTGAAAGGTTGCCCGATGTTCTGTTGTCCAACTGGGTTCACCTGAAGGTAGCCCTGGAGGGGGAAAACATCAGTTGACAGGGGAAATTAACTCCTGGAGTACTCCTGGAGTAATGGATTGCTCCCAGCAGTGGATATGTGCTGTAAAATACTGGAAAATGCCTGGCATGAAAAGCCCAAAACTGCCTCTGGAAAAAGAACTGGACATAAAGGTGCAGAGGAAGGGGGACAGGGAAGCAGCAACTCATCCTCAGCATCCTCATCTGCTAGGAATGGGCCTTCGATTCAGCTTTGCTCCAGAAGATGGAACACCAAGGAAGTTATGCAGGTAAGGACAACCCTGACCCAACCGGGATGGCTTCACACACAAGGGGTGCCAAGCAAGCCTGCTCATGTAATTTGAGGGAAGAGCTTAAACCAGATTTAAATTGCAGAGTTCATCTCTTTAGAAATGGAGGCAGGTTTTGGTTTTTCACAATTTTTGCACTGAATTGTGCCTTCCCGAAGCCAGCCATTGCCAGGCTCTTCCAGCAGCCTCCTCACAGGGGTACCATGCCAGTACCAGGAGAAAAGACAGGGAGCAGACCCAGAGCACTGTTACTCTGGGGACATTTCCCTGCCTCTGGACATTCATAGCTCCTGGATCTCCTGGCCACGACACGTGTTTCTCTGTGTAGCAGCTCTGAAGGTTTATATTGCACAGATTAATTAAAATTTTCTCCTCTTGAAAACTTCAGCATTTCCAGCTGAGTCCTATGTAACAAACAGCACCAACCTGCCCTGGGTGTATTCCAGTGGAGCCATGGCCTTTCCCATCAAGGGCCTTCTCCATTCCAGCTTTATTTTTGGCTGTTCCATCCCTCCCCTCCCTTCCTAGCTCTCTTCCAGCCTCAAGACCGTGGGGTGCAGGACCTTCTCCCCACTCCTTTCGATCCCTTTGTTCCCCGGTGCCCGAGCCCCTCCTGTGGCCGAGGCGAGGATGCGCTGGACTTGGACACCGTGTCCCCGTGTCCCCACGGCCGAGCTGGCTGCACCCTCTGCCGGCAATCCTGACTCCAGGCCCTGCTTTTCCAGGAAAATCTCTCCCTCGCCTCCCACCCACGAGGCTGGAGGGGGTTTTGCTGGGAGGGGGTTTTGGCACGGGGCTGTGTTTCGCTGGGGGAGGGCTGAGGAGCAGGGGGTGTGGGGGCAGCTCTGCCAGCTCACAGCACCGCACTGTGTGCAGCAGCTATTTTTATCCACGGGGCCGGCAGCTATATTTATACAGAATGCCACAGGAGCCGAAAAGTCTTCGGGGCGACTTCCGTGCTACGGAAGAACACGATCTGGATGTCCTTTATGCTCTCAGCCTTCTCCAGAGCCCTTTGCTGCCTCCTCAGCCCTTCCCTCCTTATGTCCCACCGTCTCCACCGTGGTGATGCTGAGCTCCTGTCCCTGCCCGTGGTGGGGAGGTTGGAACCAGATGGTCTCTAAGGTCCCATCCTACCCAAACCATTCCGAGATTTTGTGATCCTCCCTCTCGCACAGCCAGCTCTTGGCTCCCTTTCCTGCTCCGCTCTGAGCAAATATGTGTTTTCTGTGTTTAAGCTGAACATCAGGAGGAATTTCCGTACAGAAGGGGTGATTAGACATTGGAATGGACTGCTCAGAGAGCTGGTGGATTCAGCATTCCTGGAGGTGTTTAAGACTGAGTACCATGGTGCTGGTTTGCTCAAAAACTGGATTCGATTATCTCAAAGGGCTTTTCCTAATTAATTTCGTAATTCTATAATCTTAATTTCCCTCTCCAAGGCGTTGTTCCTTCGCCTGGAGCGGGCCATCCTCCGCTGCATTACTCACCCAGCCCGGTCGCTCATGAAACACTCGGTGCCCTTCTCTCGGAGGGAGGATGTATGCAATGCGAAGCGCCCTGCTCGCCCGGCAGGAGCCGCTCCCTGCCCGCCGGGCTGAGCTCCGAGGAGCCCGGCTCCGCCC